ATGAAGTTGTTTTGAAGATTATTTAATTTGTATTTTAATTTAGCTTTTAATACATTTCAACATTAATACTTTAAATTTTTTTAAAACACGATAGTTAGCTAACAGGTAGCTAGCAAAAATATAGCAAATTTATTTCCTGTCAATTTTTATTCTTTAAAATTGTTCGTTTTTGTGTTTATAAATGTACAATTTAACATTATAATAAGATAACAGGTATACATAAATGAAATTAAATGGATTTAATAAAAATGTTATTAAAAGAAAACGGAAATATATGCTAATAAAGTGTATTAAGTCAATCTAACGTAGCTAAACTGCTTTAAATACAGAGGATTAAAATGGCGGAAAACATTTTTAACATATAATACTTTTAGATTAAAGTTACAGAAAGATAACATCTGTAAGTGAGGTTATATTAAGTGTCAAATGTTTGCTTATAACAGCAAATTTATTACAACTTTTACTGGAAATACAGCTCGACAGTCAGTTGAAGGAAAACTGTGACACTCCTTGACCCMGCATGTAAACTACAATAAACCATTAAATGGYTCAAAAATACACTTTAACAAACATTTATCAGTCACACARCAGCTAGCTATAAGACATTTTATCTGACATGAAGACTTCTTACCTGGTGTAAGTTAAAGACAGCAGGTGAAACCTGGACCAGTCGCTGTGAAATGTGGAGGGAAATATAAAAAGAGTGAGATGGCTCCTTCAGTTTCTGTTTACAGAAAAACACCCGCCCCTCTCTCTAACACGTTAAAATTTAGTCATAAAACTTTATAACAACTCCTCAGACGAGCAATACACCTGCTTTACATCTCCTGGCATATGAAAACGACTTATTTGCATCATGTGAAWTCAGATAAATCATAAATAACTTACCTGTAAACGAACCTCACTTCACAAGGATTTAACTTTCCCTGATACAACCTGTAGCTAACAGATGGCGAGGTGAAAAAATTACAGGATCACACAAATTCTAACATWAACACTTCGGCGCCCCCGTGAGGCTGTGGTGAGTATTACATGTTGTTGTAATACACACTGCAGCCTCACGGGGGCGCCAAAGTATCTTTTAAAAATAGGGACTAAAAGGCTTTAGTGTTCTTGAAGGAAATGCCAGAGTTTAAGACAAATATCATCTCTATATTATTGTCTTGAATGCCGTGTGTCTGTTANGGTGTCGGCCCTGGTCTACCTGGGCACGAGCAGCGTCTTCTACTACCAGATTCACCTGAGCGCGCGGCCGGGCCGCTCTGCGTGCGTACTGATGATCACGGTGCTGATCAGCAGCGCCTCCAACATCCTGCTGACC